GCTGCCGGGACGGTGCCCCTCGCCCAGCGTGGCAGGGACAGCTCCATAGCGCTCGCGCGCAGTCGGGTCTGTTAGTTAGCTGGCCACGGCACAGGGAGCCCTTAGGGTAGCGCAGAGGGGTGCAGGTTACAGCCCAGTCCGTTCTGCCCAGCCCAGAGCCCCGCCAGGCTGTGGGAAGCCCCTCGGGGCAGGCTGTCTCTCGCTCACTCGCTCTCTGACTTCCTTCCTGAGTCTGTTCCCGGGTGAGAGCCCCCAGCGTCCACCTTGCCCCTCAGGAGCGCTGCCATCAGCTCTCTGGCCCCACTGCTGATCTGGGGCGGTTTCAGTCAGTTCCTTAATGACTGTTCTTCCACCAGCCAGGGCGGTGATGCGCATACCCTGTGTCTTAGGCTGCCCTGAGAGCAAACTTAGTCCTCCCCTGGCACTGGGTAGCCGTGCAAAGTATAGGGGAAACCGAGGCAGGCGTGAGACTCCTACAGATGCTACAGAAAATTCCCCGTTCGTCACAGGGATCAGTTATTCTCCGTGTTCGCTGGAGGCAGGACAGGCAGTGATGGGCTCCGTCCATGGCCAGGGAGACTTAGGTCGAATATTAGGAACCAGTGTCTAACTGTAAGAGGGGGAGCTCGGCCTGGAACAGGCTGAGGGAGGTTGGGGAGTCCCCCGCACGGGAGGTGTCGAAGAACAGGTTGGACAAAGAGCTGTCAAGGCCGGCCCAGGTTTGGCTGGCCAGGGGCTGGGCACGGTAACCCGTCAAGGTCCCTTCCCGCCCCACATTTCTGTGTTCTGGGGGCGCCCAATGCTGCACACGGCTTTCCAGCGGAGCTGTCCCGACAGCATCTCTGCTGCACCCGCCTGAGCCGTCCTGGGGTCCCCTTGCCTCCCCCTTAGCCGCCTCCCACTGGAGGCTCATGGTGGCCCCACGCACCAGGCCTCTCTCCCACTCCATGGCGGCCAGCTGACGAGTCCGCGGCCAGTAGCGGAAATTGGGTTACTGGCCCCGAAGTGCATGCTGTGCCCCCTGGGCTGGGGGCGGGGGGTCTGACATCAGTGGGGGTCCCCCAACCCGGGACTGGGGTAACAGGAGTGATCAGTGCAGCGCCCCCAGCTGCCCGCCCCCGCACTCTCTGTCTCCGTCTGTCCCCTGCAGATTGCGTGGTGGACATGGCAGCTGGGGAGCCGCAGGGCGGGGGAGAGCCGGGGGCCGGGCCGGGCCCTGGGGAGCTACGTCTGACCGTGCGAGGCCAGGAGAAGGACTCACAGCTCACACTCAACGTGCCCAGGGTAAGGGGGGGGCCTACGGGGGGGGGGTCACCATCTGGGGGGGCACCTACAGGGGGAGGGGCCATGCCAGTGGGCTGTGAGGTGCTGTTTGCAGAGGGGGGGAGGAGGGGGTTGTCACAGCCTCGGGGGGGAAGGGGCTGTTGGCTGAGGGGGGGCTGGGGCAGTCGCGGGAGGGGGGCTAGTCTGGGGCAGGCCCCTCTCCTCCTGGGGCTGCTTTGGGAGGGATGCTGGGGCAGTCCCTGTAGTGCCCCCTCCCAGGCATGTCTGTGGCGTGTGCCCCCACCCCGCTAACCCCCCACCCCCGGCAGGCGGAGCCGCTGCACCGGCTGATGGAGCGCTACCAGGAGGCCATGGGGCTGGGTGGCCACCAGCTCCGCTTCTTCTTCGACGGGCAGCGCCTGGCGGGGACCCGCACGCCCGAGCAGCTGGGCATGGAGCCCGACGACGTCATTGAGGCCTGGGCCTAGCCCCCCCGGGATGCCCCCGCCCCTGCATAGCTGGGCAGGGAGCCCGATGGAGGCCTGGGCCTAGTGCCCCCCCTCCCCGCGGGATGCCCCCGCCCCTGCATAGGTGGGCATGGAGCCCGATGGAGGCCTGGGCCTAGCCCCCCCGGGATGCCCCCACCCCTGCATAGCTGGGCATGGAGCCCGATGGAGGCCTGGGCCTAGTGCCCCCCTGCCCCCCTCCCCGCCGGGATGCCTCCCCACAGCTGGCCACGGAGCCGGCTGCTGCTGTCCCTGAGCCTGGGGGGATCCCCATTCCTACCCCCTGCAGCAGCTGGGCATGGCCCTGCCCCACCCCCTGCACCTAGGCATGGCCCAGAGCCTGCCCATCATGTCAGCGAGGCCTAGACCCAGACCCAGCCCCGCAGGCCTGTTCTGTAAATAGGGGACTTTAGGGGGCATTTATCCCCAGCACTGAGGGGGGCGAAGCTGCTTTTATGAAATAAATAAATAAATGAACCCAGCTGTCGGGCCTGAGCCTCTTGCCCTTTACTTGTGGGGAGGGGGTGGGCGGACGCAGCTGTGGGGCCAGAGCGACTGGCATTGCGCCGATCCCTGCCCCCAGGGTTCAGGGCCCCCTCGCGGCTCAGCGTGCGACAGGCCCTGCACCCACAGAGCTCACACGCTCAATACACAGCAGGGATGGACCCACCCGGGATCACACAGAGTCTGTGTCCCAGCCAGCCATGGAACCCAGGAGTCCTGGGCCCCAGCTCTGCCCCAACCCCCTAGACCCTGCTCCCCACCCAGAGCTGGGGACAGAAGCCAGGAGTCCTGGCTCCCAGCCCCCGCCCTTCCCTTTGGGCCCAGCAGCTCCCCCCAGCCAGGTTTCTGCCCTGGCCGGCCTGTTTTACAGCTCACCCTCCCGGCAGCTCTGAGCCGGGCACCCAGGGGTGTTTCTGGGTCCCTCCACCTCATTTCTCGGAGCTCCTTCATTCAGTGGGGGGGAGCTGGCCCCATCTCCTCCCCCTCGGGGGGCGGCTGTATCTCCTGGTCCTTGGGCACCAGGGTCCCGCTCAGCTGGGCCCCGAAGGTGCGCTGCAGCAGGGCGGGGATCTCGTGGGGCTGCAGGGGGGGTCTCCGTGCGCTCCCCGCCCCGCGTGGCGATGAGGCGCCAGCCCATGTAGGTGAGGCGGCCACCGCCCGGCTGGGGCAGGCTGCAGAAGGACTTGCAGGCGAAGATGGAGCTGGGGGCCTGTTGGTGGTAGCAGCACATGGCGGCGAAGTCTCCCAGCTCCCACTCCTCCAGCGTGAAGGTGTAGAGCATCTGCCCCTCCTCGCCCGGCGCCCGCAGCCGCTCCAGCGCCCAGACGCCCCCCGCCAGGCCCAGCCGGAAGGTGCCGCCCTCCTGCGGCTGCTCCAGGCCCGGCTCCAGGAAGCCGTCCCCGAAGCCCACGTCGCACAGGAAGCGCTGGCCCCCCAGCCGGGCCAGCAGCACCAGGTGGTCGCAGGGTGGCCCGAGGCGCCCGGTGAAGCGGTTCCGGACGCGGCCGGCCAGCCCCACGACACAGAAACCCAGCGCCCGCAGCAGCCACTGGAAGAGCCCGTTGTTCTCGTAACAGAAGCCGCCACGGCGCCGCCGGACGATCTTGTCGTAGAGCAGGGGCAGCGCCAGGGTGATGGGCTCCCCACAGTGCACGCTCAGGCTCTCAAAGGGCACCGAGAACAGGTGGCAACGGTGCAGCCCCCGCAGCGTCTCCAGGGTGGGCTCTGTCGGGCCCTGGTACCCGATCCGGGAGAGATAGGCACCCACGTCCATCCTAGGCTGGGGGGCAAAGCGGGGACTGTGAGCAGAGAACCCAGGAGTCCTGGCTCCCAGACCCCCACCCCGAGCCAGAGTTAGAACCCAGGAGTCCTGGCTCCCGGCACTCACCACTGGATCCCCTCCTCCCCGAGCTAGGGAGAGAACCCAGGAGTCCTAGCTCCCGGCACTCACTGCTGGATCCCCTCCTCCCCGAACCAGGGAGAGAACCCAGGAGCCCTGGCCCTGAGCCCCCCGCTCTAACCCCCCAGCCCCCCTCCTCTCCCAGAGCTGGGTTCGAATCCGGGCCTACAGCACTCACACTGGGGTGCAGCTGGCCCTGCCCAGGGTTTTGCTTCCGCATCTCCGGGGGCGGGGAGGCACGTGGTTCTGCCCCCCCCCCACGTGACAGCTCCTTAACCCCTCCTAGCCTGGCCTCTCCCCGGTAGCCATGGGGCAAAGGGGGTTGGCATCATCCGTGGGAGCAGCCCCCCACTCTCCCACCTACCTGTCCAGGGGAGGGGAGGTAATCACCCCCCAGTCTCCCAACTCCCCCTTCCCAGTGCCAACAGATCCCCCGACATCTGAGGCCCCTGTGCCCCCCATGCCCTGTGTTCCCAGCCCCCATTGCCCCCCCCCCTTAATCACTGAATTCAAAGCACAGGGCGTATTACCTGTGCACCCCCCCTCCCCCACCACACACACACAGGTGATTTGATGAGTTTCGGAGATGCTGGATTGGGGGGCAGGGGCAGCAGGGGGTGAGGTCAGAGGTCAGCACAGGTCACATGGCATGGTCAGCAGGTGCACGCTCGTCCCGCTTGGGGAGGGCGGCTCCGGGGCACTGACAAGCAGCCAGAGGTGGGGCCGGGGCAGAGCATGGGCACCTGCTGGGCCTGCACCTCCCACCCCTGCCCCAGGGGGGCGTCATTGGGCACCGCTGTGGGCAGGGGCTGGCACCGGGATCGGGCACCGGGGCCAGCTCGGGCAGCATCTCCTCCTGCCCC